AGCCAATGTATAGCGAAGCCCAGACCGAATCTCATAAGGTGGAAAAGCAAACAAACAAATGCACGGCTCCACCTGAAGGCTCGGCTAAGATCAATGTTGATGCTAGATTCAGGGCAGAAACAAGGGACGCAAGTGTAGGAGTAATAATCAGTGATTGCAGAGGTCTGATCCTACTTGATGCATGCAAGACGCTACACCGATGCAGTTCAGTAGCATAGGCAGAAGCGCTGGCGTGCTTGGAAGGCATCCGACTGGCGATTGAATGGGTGCATATGCCTGCTATTCTAGAATCTGACAACGTGGAAGTTGTGGCTAGCTTGACAATGAAAAGCTCATCAATATCAGTGTGGGAAGGAATAATCTTTGAAGTGAAATCAAACAAAATACTCATGCTTTAGCTCAGCTAGCATTTAGTTCAAGAATCTACTTAGAGTGGAGATTGTGTGCCCCAATAGAAATACTTGAGCTTCCTAAAACTGGTAGATGGTTGAGGGCAGGATCTGGACTTAGTGGAATTGGTCAATTTCATTGCGTTCCCTAGAACCCAACCTATGCCTATCACATTGTCTGAGCTAGGCTAGGCTGGAGCTGAGGGTAGTTCAGCCCTCACTCTGTGGCTTCTGGTGGACCCTCCTTGTTAGTCTCGATGGTCTCGCAGAGAAAAAAGAAGCCAGCGATTGCGATGTCCCAATTTTCTAATTTCTCTTCGTCTGTCGTTCTCCTCTTCCTCCTTCGCTCCGTCTCCCCTTGAACCCTAATCATTTCCCTCAAACTCCATCTAAAAATCATGTCGGGAAAGACTTTGATCTCCCTCACCGGTTCAAACTGCACTTTCCATCTTGAAGGGGAGATGCTTTCACCGGGTGAATCCTTTTTGCTTTCACTTTGTTTTGTCCTTTGTGTATTTGAAGCACCACAGGTACAAAAACAAGTGTGGGGGTGATCTTGTGATCACACGACACATTCACATACAAGATCACCCATATCCGTGCTACACCATAATGCTTGCACATTCACGAGATGAAACGTAGCATCCATCGCACACACGGCTGCTCGTCATCACACTCACATATGAGCGTCGCTTTGCACGTTTATCCTTATTCTCCTTAATCTTTGAGTAGGATTAATTCTGCCAAATAAAAATTAAGTCAATAATGAAAAATGAGTATTGACATGATCAATTAGTGTATAGGACTTGCTTGCAACAAGGACTTACATGCTTTTTAATCTCTGAACATCACATGTTGCTTGTGAATCATATTCATTGTATCACATGTTATCTGAGTTATTGATGAATGAGATATTGCCCAATGGTATGAACTTTGTTCTTAATGTTGAACCCTTAGGAATTTTAGAAAATAAAATAAAATGAAATAACATTACATACTCCTCATTGATGTTTCATTCGTACCAAAGCTATATGTCGATCTTAATGATAAACCTTGAACATATGCTGCTTGCCATCAATTTGAGTGTTATCAAATGGTTGTAACCCTTGTTAGATTCTTTTCATATTCTCATGATCAAAGTCTTGTGAACTTATTCACTAAAATATATTGCTCTCCCTGTACAATAGAGGATTTGCAAGGTATTCCATCCACCTATCATACGCTAAACTTCTATACTAGAAATCAGCATCCACCATCTTCATCCAATAAATAAAAACTCTTGATACTAATGGTCTCTCCTCCTATGATCCATGCCAAATGAGACACGAGCTTAAAAAAATGAAAACAATGCCCAAAAGAGAATGAAACAAAGTATTATTGAGCATGATGAAAAAAAAGAGAGATAGTAATGTAGTCATTCTAAAATAAAGTATAATGAGGAGGGCCATACAAAAATGAATCACCATCCAATTTCCCATTTTTATACATTTTCCACTTCCATCCAAATATAAGTGCACAAGCTTGATCATGGTTATAGGATTGGTTATCTTCTTGGATCCTCTATTTGACTTTACAATATATTTGATACAAGTATGCTAGTTCTTATTCCCTACCCTGACCTCCACATAAGGCTCAGTAGAAAGGTAGGATAAGAAAAGGCAACATCAATGCCTTGGTGACGAATACACACATTGAGTGATTCGAGAGAAACACCAGAGGAGTATAGTAAATGTTATATTTTTATGAGCAACAAAGAAAACCCCAAGGTTCTTTGGGAGAAAGAGTAAAGGTGACTTGAGTCAAGGACCGTTCCACTCTTCAATCACCCAAGATAACATGGTAGACACATCAAGGTTTTGACAAACATAGGTATGCCTTGGAATAACTCATATGCCACATATCATTGAACGTGAAGTCATTGTTCTAGTGGATCCAGGAGCTTTACTCAGGGACGAGTAAAGGATAAGTGTGGTGGTATTGTTGATAGTCGTTATGTACAAGCTTTAACTGTCAACTTCTGCATGAAAGAAATAAACTATAAAATAAAAACTTAGTGGTAGGGGTTTATTACTAACAATTTCCACTAGCTTTGGTAAATATATGTATGTAGGTAATTTAAGGAGAAAATACACCCACCATGCGATGAAAATGAATCTCCGGCCAATCACACATGAGCACAAGGATTGAAGGGCCCATCTGATAGTCAAAACCTACTTAAAGTGGGGCCAAACCGTCCTCAACCGGGTCCACCTGTAAGGCATTGGAGAAAGGCGGTGGAGAGAGGTAGGGCCCACAAGTTTGGCCGAACTGCCACTGGCCTCCCTCATCTCCACCTCACACATGTAGGCTCCTGATGCTCTCCCAATGATGGTTGTGGAGGAGTAAACGCCATCCTCAACCGTCATAGATCTTGACTCACTTGGAATATGCACAACAAAGTAGAGTACAACTCACTTTTACAATTTATACTTTACTTTAGTATGTGGGTTTAGGAAGAGAGTGAGGGGAAGCTCCATAAGGAGGGCCCGTATATCAGAGTTTTCTTCGAGAATTTTACGGAGGAGTGCTGTAATTGTTGACATTCTTCCAACAGAGTTTCGGTGAAGCGCCGGGATTGTCGGCCTTCTTCTTGCTTGTACCTCGGTGTTTGCTGTCTTTTATTCGAGATTCTTTTATGTTATCTAATTAATTTACTTAAGTGAGATATATTCTCATAGGTGCGGGTTCGTCGCTTAGTTTGTAATTAAGTGCTCTAGTACTAGAACTCTGGATAAAGAAAGAAGTTCATGTACGAGGCTAGTATTGTAGAAGATGGTAAATACTATCCCCCTATTCAGCCTAAACATTCTAGGAAAGTTGGAATGGAGTTGTCCAAGGTGTTTTCTAACAGTGATAACTTCCTTTCGAGTTATTTCCTATGGTCAGAAGGGAAATACCCCATTCAAGCTGTTTCCCATGGCCAAAGAGAACTCTCACCGATGATTTACGTACTCAACCCATCGAGAATGGACAAAGTGGTTTTTACTTATACCCGGAGAACTTCCTAGTGGCTTTTACTCATGGCAGGTAATCTCTAGACGACCGGTACGCACATGGTTCAAGCTCAGAGTATCCGAACTCGTGGACAAAAGGAGAAGTTGCTCAAGTGAAGTTGGGGGAAACTTCTAGGAGATGCCATTGGCCAAGGAATATGCCATGGGGACCACGTAAATGTGCATTCATGTCCCCAGTATCATGCACTTTATAGTGGCATTGTAGTAACTTTCTATGCCTTTCTCCGGGGCAAAGTTGTAATAATATGCACACCCTTCTAGGCTATATAAACAACCCCAGCCCTGTATCGGGACAAGACATAATTAATAGCAAAAATATCATCTCACTCATCTCAGCATTTTCCTTTGAGCTCATTTTTAGGATAGAATTTGTGTTTTGCCGCTTATTGCCGAATTTGTCCGTGACTCAAGGACACGACAACTAGAGTAGTAATCAATATATTAGATGTGGTGTGTTGGTTAGCGGTTATCTTCGTTTGTTGTGTGCTCTATGGAAATTGAGGTAGGTGGCAAGTGGTGATAGCCCTGTTCGTCCTTTACATCCTTCTATGTTTGGGTACATAATAGAGCTCAAGGCCGAAGTCAGCCTGCCAGACTAGGGGAGGGCTGTTGCCCGAAGTATTAGATAGAGTTTTACCTTTAACATAAGCTAGCTAGTTTGATTCATAGGAATCTCTATAGCCAAACCTATCATCAGTTGTTGTCCTTGGATAGAATCCCATTCGTAGATAGTACACACATGTTCCTCATGTCCGATACACTTGGAATACTTCAAGGGAAGTGCTACAGCGGTATCTGCACGGATTTATCGTGTAGCAAATACCAACAATATTGACTAAACACGATAAATATAAAAGTGCTTATGAAGCCATAACTATTCTTTTTATCTTTGTCTACTAGCTAGTTTACTTGTTAATATGATTCTTCCGTGTCACACTACCCAATTATTATTAAAATTATCATTTACCTCTGTTAGACTATGACATAACTATAGTATGATTATGAATATATCAACCCATAATGTACACCACCATCATCCATGCAAAAAAAAAACAAATAATGATACCTATGGAATACTCCCGGGTGAACTAATATAAAAGTATACATGCGCTTGTGTATTTAATTGTGACCGTATCAAATACCAACCACAATTAAACAGTAAAACAACAGCAAAAGAAAAACATAGATTGGACTTGTCAACCGCATAACATTATCAGTTGACTCACGGCTGCAACGGATTATGATTTATTCTTCGAGAAGGCCGCATAGCTCGTTTGATTCTTAGCCATCCGGATGAATAGGAAATGAATATATAAACACAGTTGCGTTGCCCTTATCTAGATAAGTTTCATACACTCAATGTGCATGCAAGTGTAACATGCATCACTCCTGCATGGCTCTGCCTATAAATAGTATCAGCCTATGCCTGATTTAATACAACTTGTTTGATCTTTAACCACCTGAATGAATAGGAAATGGATGTATAAATACAGTTGCGCTACCCCTAATCTGCATAAGCTTCATGCACTCGATGTGAGTGCATGCGCGTGTAAAATGCATCACTCCTGCATGCCTCTGCCTATAAATAGTATCAGCTTATTCTCGATTTGATACAACATTTTTCTTTGTGAGAGGTGAGCAGAACAAACAGAGGAGTGTATTCGTTGCGGTCTCAGTCCAGACTTTCAGAGGGGTGTATTCCTTGCGGTCTCAATCTAGACTTCAGAGGGGTGTATTCCTCAGTCTCAGTCCAGACTTCAGATTTATGGATGGCAGAAATGTTACTGCTTGTTTCCTCGTATTACTTGTGTTTCTTGGGAACTCGAATATTGCAGCAGGTTAGTTTCCCTCTCCTCATCTCTTCAACTGACTATTGACAAACAAAATTTGTATGTTTTAAATTTCACCAGTTTCTTTTTTTCTAAAAAAAATAATATTCATTTCTTCAAATACTGATAATTAATTGGTAATTAACCGGTTGATATGTGCGTGTAAATATCTTGCAGCTGAATGCTGGGAAACTACTTCGAGTAGTCCGATCTGCGTAGGCTTTCTGTGCAAGGGGACGTGTTGGATTGGTGCAAAAATCTGGAAAGCCAAGGTCAAGGTTCACAAGTGTATGGGATCAACACTGAGCAGCAGCTGTTACTGTTACTATTGTGACAATAAGCCCTGAAGATAGATTATTGCCTGCAACTATTGAAAGGAAATCAAAGATTTATTCGTTGCTTTTTTAGCTAAGGAAAGAATAACTAAAACCTGGAATTTAGTAAGATAATTAGTTTTCTAGTTTATGAAATTGTTCTTCTTAATTTTCCTAGATTTTATTAGTAGTAATATTTAGTCACTTACTTCAATTAATGGTGTTTATTGTATTTATGTATCCTCCTGTATTTTTGAAGCTTGCACTTACTATGGTGAAATGATGGATTTTACAGGCGTAAAAATTGGCTATATTTATTTAGAGTAGTATGAACATCTACGGCGGCATCCTATTCATGATACTGAAAATTTTATGTCTTGGTTCAATTAGATCAACATTCTGGAATTCTATACGACGCGGGAAATGTGTTAATCGGCCTGACTAGGTTGTACTTCTGCAGAAGCGATAGAATAACTATATTTCATTTAAATGAAACTTTTCGTATGAATTACAACCTTAAACGTTATATTGAAGGACTCAAATTTGCTGCACGCTTAAAAAAATATGAATTTTCTTATTAAATTTCCTTTTATCACTTGTTTAAGGCTACTTTTTGAAATGCATATTTCTTAAAATATTAAATTTATCCTTACAATTAAGTAGATAATTAGTGCAAAAATCTAGTCAGTAATCTAAATCAAATAGGACCAATCACTCATCCAAAAATTTACTCAACTTATTTTTAGATACAAAATCTCGTAAAATACGTGATACATATTTGATGCGATTTGCACCCCTGAATAAAGATTTTTTTTTCTTTTTAAAATAAACAATGCAGGGTAAGCCTCCGCACCCCTGAAAAAAAGATAGTGACTTATTTGAGAAATCCTTTGTAGTTCTATAGTTTATATCCACTAAGTATATAGGAAATGCTATTTCTCTCATCTGTTATTAATCCACACCATCTCAATTATTTCCAGCACTGGATAATAAATTTATGGTCCAAATAACCCCTCATCTTTTCTTCTCTCACAAAGTCACATCACCTTAGTTTTTGCCTTAATCAAAGATGCAAATTATACAAAGTATCATTTTCTATCTCATTAAGCCACATCATCTATCCCTTAGATGATTAGTTTATGATCCAAATTATGTCTCTTCATTTTCTTTTCTCAAGAAGCCACATCATCTTAGATTTTTTCTTTGGAATTTGGATAATCAATCTGTATATGATCAAAATTGTCATAAAGCACATCATCTCGATTTCTCAGCTGTTTATAGCTTTTTTTATGATAGATCGAAGATGCGAACTATACAAAGTACATAAAGTTTTGTCGTTTAGCTAGCAACAAATTCATCTAACAAATTATGTATACTATTATTATGAAATATTTCAGCAGCAACGCGCTAGGTTTCATCTAGTGTAATTATAATTATAAGGTGAGTGATTAAATTGCACCACCTTATTAGTGTGGAGCCACAAATTTATTTAACAACAAAAGGAATTCAGTACCAATGATAAATTTCAGAACAACCAGCAGTCCTGTTCTTCCGGCGAGAAGATGTGTCATGCAGAGCAAGATCAAGGTTTCCTTGCTAAGCATGATCGCCTGCTGGCAACCAGCGGGATTCAGTCTTGGTTAGTTACCGTTTACCTCATCTTCATCACCATGCATGAACAATTGAGGAACCTCTGCTTTTTGCTAGCCCATTCTTTGGCTAGGTCTTTCTGCTCTATATTAATTTCGAACAGAAAATAATGGCCCTAACAGAATTCGGTTATGATATATTATTGAAGGAATATAAGCTTTTAAAGGGAGGAGATGAACTAATGCAAACAGTACATGTGATTGATTAATTTTCTGTCATTTAAGTTAACTCGTTAATCATCTAGTACCCTATAACTAGTAATATGCATGTGCTAACGCTACGATAATATTTAATAATTCAAATCAAATAATATAAAAAGATATATGTTTGAGATTGAGATATATACTGAATATTGATTGAAAAAAAAGAAACAATATAATATAGAGTTATTATACATTGTTAATTACATAGCAACTTTTTTGTCTTTCAAAACCCAAGCTGGACTTCTCATGGAATGTGTGTTTGGCACTTAGTAATTTTATTCATTGCAATGGGGACACATCAACACCTCAACAAGTCTACAATGGGCTCAGTTGCTCAGAACTGATCATCGAACATAACTTCCTAAAACCATTGTATTGGCACTTAGTCCTCTCGGTCATGGAGTATATTTGTGAGCTGGTTCACAATATTGAGAGCCAAAGCACGGTGTATGCTCTTCTCCTTCATGGACTATAAATAGCAGAAATTTGATGGGATTCATAGCACAAAAAACAAAGGAAATCCTCTTATCCTATATGCCATCGTTTGTAAATATACTTCTTGTTCCTCTTTGCATCAATATATCAGCCAACTAAAATAAATCACCAACTGATAGGGATGGATGCTTCAAGCCTTCAACCGCTACTTCATCTTGCAAGTAGGTGCGTGTTGCTAGCCATGAGAAGTTTCTTACTTCTCACAGATAGGGATGGATGCTTTGATTTTTGTTTCAAAATTTTGATCCGGAGCAATTTTTTCAGGTGGAATGGTTAAGGCGAATTTAACACTGAATTACTTTATGTCTCCAGACCCCAGACATGACACTTTATCAATTTATCTCTACGTATTTTGTATTCTTTGACCCCCAATCTAGCATTCTGTATCTTGTGGACAGCGTGTATTGCATTAGCACTGTGGTGCCACGGAGAGGACCGATCTGCATAAACTTTTAGGAGTGGATACGAAGTTTGGGGTGTAAGATAAAATCAAGCAGTTTTCAGAAACTTATATGAGTGAATCATGGTTCTTTAACCATGGATTGGGGCAACTGGTAAGGCATTAACGAATGTTCCGTCTGTTCGAATAGGTTGTAGCTTTCATGGCCCTCTGTTTGTGCTTGCTGACCTTCCAGCTGCTATGAGTCAAGGCGACAATGCCTTAAGTCCTGGTGCAGCATGATTCTTGTACTAGTGTTTCATGACCCAATTAAGTGGTTATTATCTTTTTTTTTTTTCAAATCCTTGTGAATTGGTGACAAAACTTAGAGCTCAAATGGGCTACTCTATATACCATGACAGTGCGCACTCTCAGAGATTAAAGGAGTGCAGGAGGATCTAGTTAGTGGAGCTATTTTGATTGCGACGAAGTTGGTCCGCTCCAATTATTTAGCTTTCTATATCTTTCTATCTTTTTTACAAACTCAGGAAGGAGAAGGAGGCATCTGCAGTATCAGTTACTGTATGATGTAGCTCTCTGTTTGTACTGCTTTGCTTATTTAGTAACATTTTTCAGATATTGTCTCTGTTTAGTTCTGCCTTCTCAATCTAAAATAATAAGATAAGATACACTACTAATATCTAGGCTGAATTTGATCATCGTGTGTTATGAATGGAATGTTCTAGGCCTTTTTGCGAGGTTACAGTGTCAACGGCCAGTTTACTTGCATATTAGTAAATGCAGTTCTTGTCACAACGTAGGCCTCGTTTGGCTGCCCGTGTATATTATACATGTGTGAATAGTTCCACCCGTGTATTGAGTGAATCCACACCACCCACCCAATACACAGCATGATTCAATATATAAGGGGGGGCTGGTGGTTCGACCGGTGATGCCCAGGTTTGACTCCACAGCAAGTACGTAGTGCTAGCTAAGCTAGTGGTATGCATGAAGAGTTGGGCAGAGCTAGGTTTACCTTTTAGGTCTCATTTGTTAAGTAAAAAATTAATATAAAAAATACAGAAAAACCTAAGAAATAAAATACCAGAATAGAAAATCCAACATGTATATCCATCTGTAATTCTAAAAATCCTGCTTTAAAAATTAAAAAAAAACACAAGAGTAGAATTTCACATAGAAAATAGAGAAATTAACATGCATGTGCATGTATGAACATGTTACTGATCCATGAAATATTTATAGGTGAACTAGAATAATTGATTCAACACAAATCTTCCAGGTAGAAACAGCACACACCAGACATGCACATCCAAGCATATATGACAGTAATAAATAACTTTGATAGCTAAGTCTACCACAGATGTTTAATTTGAAGTCTACTAGGTGTTCCATCTACGAATAATTTCTTTGACATGAAACATCCAAGCAAAAGATAGACAACTCCAACAGCAGCATATCTCCCTACTTTCCGTTGCATCTTTTTTCCATGCATCACCTGAAACAAAGTACAAGGCAAAAGATTAATTGGCTCCATATCTGCCGTGGCAAACTGACTGCTAGCAACAGAGAGAAACTAGAGAAAAGAGCTAATAAGGAAGCTTGCAAATTCCTAGGACAAGAGCACTAAGGGTGTGTTTGAGGAGAAGGAGATTGGAAAGATACGCAAAACGAGGTGAGCCATTAGCGCATGATTAATTGAGTATTAACTATTTTAAATTTCAAAAATGAATTAATATGACTTTTTAAAGCAACTTTCCTATAGAAATTTTTTTGCAAAAAACGCACCGTTTAGTAGTTTGGGAAGCGTGTGCGTGGAAAACGAGGTGCTTTCTCACCCTATATCACACAAACGAACGGAGCCTAAGGGACTAAGAAAAGTTGGAGCAAGATGAAATTAATTGTGCATTTTACAAGCGATATCTTGATAAATAAGTAGAAATGCTTATATTTTGGAACGGATGTAGTACATTTAAACAAATTCACTCTGTGCATCTTCAAATTTGAATAGATAAGCTCACTCCAAGTATCAGCGTTATCATTCATTCAGCAAATTCAAATCATGCTTTCAGAGCCCAGTACTACTCACCCGGAGAGAGCAACAATAATATATTGGAATATATGTATATAAAAGTTTACACTCCCAAAAAACAAAAGAGCATGAATAATATGTAAGGCATAATGAGCATCATTTTTAGCATAAATAATACACCTGCATCTCAGGTGATGCTACAATGTGAAAACTACAAATGTATCATCTGCCAATCTGCTCAACATTTACCCCCAAAAAATAGTTTTGCTGAGCATCACTGAATTGAAATTTTAGGTGATACAACAAACAAAATCCAACTGTTTAATATGACTAAAGTGTAGTACTAATTAATATATTCATCAGTTTCATAGAGGCAATAACAAGACAGAAGGAGCAGTACCAGATTTACGCAGTTGTAATCTTCCTCCTTAACCACTTCAGTCGTGTAGAGTCTTTTGCAGTCATGAAAATGGCCCTGTTTTGTGGATCTTTGAAGACATCATAAGCCAGGACCTTCTCATCATCCGACATATCTTCCATGCTGTCCACAACAGCAATGCATACTGGGATCGGGAACTCATCCTCATGCACATTACTTCTTGCCCTTTCCTGCTGCGTAATTTCAGTCTCAGCTTGCTTCTCTTTAAATTCCAGAAATTTTCCCATCATCTCAACAACTTTCCCATCCTGGCGACGCCTTTGTGTTGCCTTTTCTGTTTTGTCACTTGTACCAGCATGCTTGTTTGTTGCACTTGCAACTCTTTTTCCCATTCTTGACCTTGTAGAGGCATCACTTGCAATTGGCTGTTCCACTATTCTCAGGTCGTCATCATCACTTTCAGCATTGTGTATATGAGAGTCAAAAGGGAAATTCTCATCTTCTCCCATATAATGTTGTGTGACAGTAGCTTGAGAAGTTTGAGAAGGCTGTGTGAGAGGAATATGAGAAGGTTGTGTGACAGGAACTTGAAAAGGCTGTGTGATAGGAACTTGGGAAGGGGCAATGGAGGTGAAGTTCATGGTTCCCTCGGCAGTATGTCCCACAACAGAAAGTGAAGTCAAGTAATGTTTAGGAGAACTGAATAGAACATGCTTGGCTGGTAGGAAAATAAAGATTCAACAATGGTGACATACCATCATATAGCTCTCCTAAAGCCTCAAACAATGAGAAAGATTTATTCCGGAATTTTTTGGCCTTAGGATGAGACTGTTTATTGAATACCAGAAAGAAAAGTAATTAGCAAATGAAATTAAAGCAAGAACTATATTTAAGAATTTAACAAGAATTAACAGCAACGAGAGACAAGAAATCTCACAATAATGATGTTATTCCAAACAGCTTCATCTCCTTCAATCCTTCACAGCTTATCATCCCAGGACACACCACTTTGTTTTCTCGCTTCTTTTAGAACTCTATATTCCCTCTTCAACTCTCTCTCTCTTTGTCTTGAATTTGAACCTTTGTAAAATTGACATAGGGGAACTTCTCATGGAAGGATTTGACTATTCGGTTCCATGCTTCTGTGGACCACCCATTCTGACTCCTATAGCAGTCGTTGTTGTGATCATGTAGTAGGTCAACCAAAGCTTTTTCAAGTCCTGCATTCCAACTAGCTCTTGAACGATCAAGTACAGCTGGAATAGAGAACCACACATAAGCTACAGATAATTACATGTTTTTAATCTATCAACCTACTAAACTTGAGAAGCCCATATGTGCATTTAACATGACAAGAAAAAGCCCATACCTTTTGGCGATGCCTTTTTCTTTTGATGTCTTGAAATCTTTGGAGATGGCTTTCTTTGGACAGCTGTAGCTTGGATTAAATTGAACTTTGGGGACCCTCTTCCAAACATTGTTGCTGCGAATACAAAAAAAAAACCGTTATCAAATTTAAGCATGCAAAAACATCATGATGCAAATACAAAAGCAAAATATTTCATGAGACCAGTTAAGACTCACATTTATTAAGACAAGTTTTGACTGTAGTCATTCCACATATTTAGGGCTATCATATCTCTAACCGCGTTTCCATCATCTACTTGACTGTTAAGGGACATCACATCATTACTATATTCATCGTCACCTTCAGGGACATCAATAAACTGTTCTGGAGATATGTTGCTTCCTTGGTGATTCAACCAACCCTCATCCCCATTAAGCATCCGTATAAGATTGTGGAACACCACTATGGCAACTGGAATCTTCACTTGGTTTTCAATAGAATGATGCGTTCCAACTTTTAAAATAGGGAACCGTTTCTTAAGAACACTAATTGCTCTCTCTATGTGATTCCGCAATATGGCATGCCTATGATTGAACAACTCCGTATACTTTCTTGGTCGTTGCTGTCCACGCCCAAATTCCTTCAGATGGTATCGAACACCACGGTACGGTGCAAGGAAGGATGGCGTGTTAGCATATCCACCATCAACGAGATAATATTTGCCTTGAGGCACATTGAATCCTTTAAGCATGGCTGACCTAAGAACCCTAGCATCAGTTGTAGATCCCTCCCATCCAGATGATATAAACGAAAAATTTAGATCAAAATCACAAACCAACATCACATTTTGACTTAGGGTACCCTTTCTATTCCTATATGGGGCCTAAAGGTCTTGAGAAATGGTGATAGGAACATGTGTTCCATCGATAGCCCCCAAGCAATTTTGGAATTAAGGAAAGAACTGTTGATCTGTGCTAATCTTCCAGTGAGTTTCAACTCCAGTAGGTTGCTCGATAAATCTATAGGTCAAAGTGGGATTACATTTTAAACCGCCATAATATGCCGGTGAATCGTTTCTCCACTATGATGGAATTCATGTTGTAGATCTTCATAGCTCGCATTGTGAGATATCATGTAAAGAAAAAAATCCAAGTTTCTCCTCTACCGTAATACCTCTGTGTCACGTAGGAGATGTTCTGTTCGAAGATATGTCGCTATTGCTCTAAATATGTTAGGCTCCATGCGGAATGCAACAAGGCAATTCTTTTCATGTCCCTCTAAAATATTTCTGAGTTGTTCTTCACCGTACTGACTTGAAGTATGCCTTACTCTTTTCTCTATCCCTCCATTACTAGTTAAAAGATATAGGGCAGGCAACCAGAACATAATAATCTCCTCATCCTCCTCATCTCTTCTCTTCCTAATTAGCGAATTCATACCTTCTAACTAGAAGGAATACTGAATATTTAAGATGACCGCAGTTAGCAAAAGAAAAAAAAGGTTTCAGCACTCTAGTTTTTAGTTTCAACACTATATATGTTCATAAATAATTAAAGCTAATTATGCATGTGTATGAACTGAACACTCACTTTGTTTAATAGAAGTGCTATACTACTATGCTAGTATGCTCTTTTGTGCATTCAATGGTGTTAGTGTAAAATACTGTAATGTGTGCTGCTTGCTATACATTTGTATATCATGTAGTGGTGGTGGTACAGTCTCAGCAGTGTGTAGAGGAGAACTACTAGTTGTAGTTTATTTCTGCTCAAAATCTCTTTGCACTGACACAAGATCGAAGCTAGTGATTCCCTACTGTGTTTTATTCCCTTCAGGATGGCTGTACTTTGCATATCTCCAAGCATTGACATACCTCGTCTCCAATATTTCTCTTGCAGATCGTCAAACCCTAGCAGGATGGCTGTACTTTCCGGATCTTGAAGGTCCTAGCAGCAAAACAAGTGGATGAAAGAAGATGGGCAAAGAAAATGAGATGAGATGAAGGAGGAGAAGGAGGAGAGGACTTTGAACCTTGATCAAGCGAGTAGGCTGCCGGGGCGACGCTGGCGATGAGGCGACAGACGACGGAGGCCGACGAGGAGGCGGTGGACGGCTCGGAGAAGGCAGCGGCGTCGGCGGCATAGGAGGATGGTGAGGACGTGGTGGATAGCTCGGAGAAGGCGGCGGCGCCGGCGGCGCAGCAGGATGGCGAGGAGGCGGTGGATGGCTTGGAGAAAGCGGTGGCGGTGCAGGAGGAGCCGCGAGCTGCGGCGTGCACGCGAGAAAGTTCCAGGCCTCGGGTGAGGATTATTCTCTCATCCGTGGGTCGGCATGGATCGAGCCGCAATACACAGCAATACACGAACAGCCAAATGCACATTTGGGCCAGATGTGGGAATTGATCCAGGCGTGGGCTGCATTCCACGGAAGGGCGGGTTTGGGGCCTGTTCCACATCGAAACACAAACAGCCAAACGAGGCCTAAAATGTGATGTTTGCAATCATATGTAAGTTGTCTGATGAATTTCAAGAAGATGCAGGTAAAAGGAAGCTTGGCAAAATCAGATTAAATGGGAAAGGGCGAAGGCTGTCTCAATTTCCCCCCAAGCTTGCAAACTTGAGCTGGTCAGAAACCAGTACTGAGAACTCAGCTTTTCATTTATCACTATTTACATATACATGTGCTTTCTTCTCTCTTCCAATTCAATTAACTTTCCTTGAATTATTCAATATCTTCAAGTTGCAATGCCTTACACTCTACTGAAAAGTATATGCATGTTGTTGCCTTGCTACTTTCTTTCTTGTCGCATAACATAATATTTGGTCTACACTGTGAATCAAAACGTGGTTACATCGGGCAAGAGTTCTTTGGAGGAACAGTGAGCCTAAAGGTCCTCTCAGTGATGTCCATGGCCGACTTGAGTCCATCTTAACGTTGAGGGATCAAGAAATTGAACAAAGATGCTGAGTATACATGACATGGACACCTTAAAAGGAATCAGTCTAAATCTGCTTGCTTTTAAGATATTACTCAATGGGAACCCAAAAATAAGAGGAAAGGTTGTCCTTGTATAGATTGTCAATCCAGCAAGTACAGTGAATGATATGGAGGAAGCAATAATAAAGGAAAAATTGGTTATATAGCATCGAAAGTTTACGTTTTTGGTTTTATAGCACCTAAAGATACCGGTTCACTTTAATAGCACCCAAAGTTCACCTTGTTCCCATTTTTAGCACTTCCGTCAATTCTCGATCGTTTTCCGTCCGTCTTGATCCAGCCACACACACGATATGACGTTTCTACCCCTCACAAGTACAAGTAGAATGCATGTCAATGAGGGGTAGAAACGTCATATCGTATGCGTAGCTGGGTCAATAACGATCAAGACGGACGGAAAAGTTGACGGAAGTGCTAAAAATGGGAACATGGTAAACTTTGGGTGCTATTAAAGTGAACCGGTATTTTTCGGTGCTATAAAACCAAAAACGTGAACATTCAATGCTATATAACCAATTTTGCCAATAAAGGTGTCCTTGTAAGAATCAACGTCAAGTATCCTCCATAACTACAAGCATGTTATCTTTATTGACTATTGTATACCGTTTCTATGAAAATATTGCATTTTATGATGCTGATCTGATTGTTGTATTCTAATTGTTGTGAGCGTATAATGGACATTTTGTAATATAAATGTTGAATTGGATTAACCATGTGGCACATCAAGTGAGTCCATGAAAAATTTTGAGCCAAAAATGAATACTTAGAGGATCTATATATATGATAAGATGCAACTCATATGAGGATCTATATGAGTTGAAGGACTAGATTAGCTATTCATCCTTCTTTCTTTACATGAATTTTAAAATTAAATTGTCATCTTCATGTTGTTTTGTTTGTATTACTAAATTTCGCCGTAACGTTAGTACAGACACATTAGTAGCTATCTCTAATATATCGGTACAACTTGGAGAGAGCTACACATTAGACGTCCGACGGGAATGAAAAATCAGATCTCACGGTAATGCTTGTGTACGTACTCCCTGCCCCCTCTTTCTGTGCCTCTGAACATCAGGATGGCATCCCTCTCTCTCCCTCTTATAATTAGCAGCATGCCAGCATATGTACGTGCTTGCATAATCTTTTTATTAACTTTTAATCATTTTCCCTCCTATATTGTTTATTCAATCTATAATCCAATTATACAGTTATATTCATTACAATTAAATATTTATAATATGATATCATACAATTATATTAATTATATATGTCATAACTAGTCATGGCCTCATAGGTTGTTTCACCACTTATAGAAAATTGTTTCAACCAAGTTAATAAAATGTTTCACAAAGATAAAACACTACTGATTTTTTTTTGAGAATTATACAGTACAACGCAAGCACTCATAACACATACACACTTACCCCTATGAAGGCACGCACACAAACCCTACCTGCTGATTTAAAATGCAGGGTTTAACTCTTTTCATCGTCATTTTCTTTTCACAAACAAAAAACAATAAATACACATACATGTGCACACACTTATCCCTATGGATATACAAACGCACATTCTACCTCAAGAGACTAGGGTAGCATATATATCATTAGATTGTCGAAGTCA